ATATTTACTGCTGCCAATTGGAAACAGTTGCAATAGTATCAGCGTCATGCTTCAGCAAAGCTTGGCTGAAATCTGAGCGCTGGTAATGCTGTGGTGTTTTATTACAAAACACATGAACACGGTCAAATTGTGCAACTTTAAATAAAGCCATAATAATGAAAAGCATTTTAAAGTTGTGTTCTGGTTATTTTTATTATTTTGTTTATATTTTATTATTCTATTTATTTATCTGAAAATACTAAGACATGGATCATTATTTTTATATAATTGAGTATCAAAGCTGACATATTTGGTTTCTATAACTGGCAGAAATAAAGCGATCACCAAAGCTTGAAGTGAAGTCAGACACACTGAGTGTCGCACATGATACAAATTCTACTTGTAAGCATAAATTATTTGGATTTATTTTCTCACTGCATTATTATACTGATAAGAAAGTGATATTTTGCCATGTGGTTATAAATAGTCTGCTAAAAAACTGATTAAAACTCATTTAAACTATGGGTAATGACGTCGTTGCATTTAATCATGCAAATCTCTCATGATCGAAATCAACGCATTTTTTGTTTTATGTTATTTTATGCTATATAGAACTTTCCTGTCAGAAGCTACAGCCACAAAGATACTGGCTTCTTTATTTATACACGTAACCCCTTCATAAACGAAACACAAAAATACAGATACAGTTTGTGTTGCTCTCTGTCGCCCTCGGTTGTTCAGCTCTGAACATAAGGTTTTGTTACTGAGAAAAGGAAACCTTGCTTGCTATAAAAATCAGCCCATTTCAGAGCAGACGCAGGACAGAGGAGCAGTGGCAGCTGGACGTGTGGTGGCTGTTTTGCAGTCAGCAGGTAAATTTATACTTTATACTCATTAGGATTTTAACTTGTAACAAAGAAAAAGTTCATGAAAATATCATAATCTTAGATTAGATAATGACACTATGCTCTATCATTATAATAGTACATATAACAATGACATAATCAATGATCTAATTAATGATAACAATAACTGTGAATAATGATTCAGTTCATTTTCATTTTATTTATACAGCGCTAAATCACAACAACAGTTGCTGAGTAACTAAGTCCCAATGTTGACATACTTGTTATACTTGCTATAGAAATAAAGCGATCACCAAAGCTTGAAGTGAAAACACAAAGTCGGACACACTCGAGTGTCGCACATGATACAAATTCTACTGGTAAGCACAAATTGTTTGGATTTTGTTTTATCAGTGCATTATTATGCACTGATAACAAAGTGACATATTACCATCTGGTTATAAATTGATGGTCTGCCAAAAACTAATTTCC